TAATTACTATATATCATGATTATAAGATATGGAAAATGAATGTCAAAACCACTTTCCTTAAAGAAAAATTAAACAAGGATGTGTGCATGACATAACTTAACAGTTTTATCACTTAAGGACATATAAATAAGATTAAAAATTACAAAGATCCATTTATGGACTTAAGCAAATATCTAGGAGTTGGAATTAATGTTTTGATAAAATGATCAACGAGTTTGACTTTTTTATAAAAAAAAAAAAGATGAAACTTATGCATACAAAAAGCTTAGTGAGAGCTTAATTATCTTTGTTGTACTATATTTAGACGACATACTACTTATTGACAATGACACTACCATGTTGTAATCTATAAAAGATTGGTTATCCAAAAATTTCTCTATAAAAGAAATGAAAGAGGCAAGCTTACATTCTAAGAATTAAAATCTATAAAGATAGATCATGAAGAATGTTAAGACTCTCCAAAAGCACGTACATTGACGAAATACTAAAGAAAAAGGATGAATTGTATGGAAGAATGCAAGAAAGGACATATTCCAATGTCACATAGCATAAAACTCTCAAAGGTCGAGTGTCTTAACATATAAAACAAAAGAAAAAGGATGAATTGTATTCCCTACGCGTTAGCCATAGGATCTATTATATATGCCATGTTATGTACGCTAGTTTGATGTATCATATGCTTTAAGCATATGTAGTAGATATCATGTTAATCCAGGTAAAAAACACTAGATTGCTATAAAGGGCATTCTTAAGTAATTAAAAAGAATTAAGGATGTTTTTTAGTCTATAGAGGAGATGAACTAGTGGTGAAAAGATTCATGGATGCTAGTTTTCAAACTAACCATGATAACTTTAAGTCATAGTTAGGATTCATTTTTTAATTACATGATGGTGTTGTTAGTTGAAAAAGTTCCAAGCAAGAAACAATAGTTAACTCAATAACCGAGGTCTGAATATATTATAATTGTAGAAGTAGCTAAAGAAACTGTCTGGATTTATAAATTTTTGTTTGAACTACAAGTGCTTCCTAGCATTGTTGATCTAATAGTATTGTAATGTGACAACAATAGAGCCATATCATAAGCTAAGGAACCAAGGTCTCACCAAAGGTCTAAGCATGTGATGCGACGTTAACACCTAGTTAGAGAGATTACTAGTCATGGCAATATAAGGATAGAAAAGGTCCACACCGATGATAATATAACTAACCCCTTGACTAAGCTTTTTTCACAACTGAAATATGAGACCCTTACTTAATCGTCAAGTATAAGGGATATGGTCGTTGGCTCTAATGCAAGTGGGAGATTGTTACTATAGGTGCCCCGGATCTAATCTTGTTTGGATAGGTTTGGCTTATTATAATATTGCATTATTTATTTTATTAATAAAAGAAATCTTTCTATTAATTCTTATTCTTCATATTTATTAAATAGAATTAGATAAAAGTCCTTATGATATGTATTGCATTAATGATTAATAAAAGAAGTTTTTCTATTAATTCTCGCCATCGTTAAGCATACTTCCTAATAGATTCCCTCGAGCCTTTTTCTATAGATCGTAAGCTTGATCCGTCGAGTGTTATCTCTAGGTTAAACTTATACTTGTCTCATGAATACATCCACCAAATCCTTCCATCTAGTGATCTTTGTCCGGTCCGGATCCATAAACCAGTTGAAAGCAGAACCGTCAAGACTCTCGGGGAAGAAGTGGATCATTAGCTTTTCGTTATATGCTACCTTAGCCATCTTATTCAGATACATCCTTAAGTGGGTTCTAGGACATTGATTTCCAGTGTACTTAGTGAGTTTGGGCACTTTAAACTTTTGAAGGATCACCATATTTGGCATTAGACATTTATCTATATTGAAGAGAGAATCATATATATCCGCACCTTCGATAGCTCTCAAGCGTTCTTCAATGGTCGTGAGCTTCTCAATTTCCAGTTTCGAGGCTATCTTTTCTTTGGCCAACTCTTCAATGATGAAATCGGTAGTTGTCGATATCGGTGCTTGGACGGTTCGAGGCAACATTAAAGCAAGGCTTGAAGGTCTAGAAGCAAACTCATATGTGCCCCCCGATGTAGGATAGTTGGCATGATTAGTAGTATCGGTAAGCTCTAAATGAGGCATACCAAAAGGTGGTATTGAGGCAACAGTCCGAGTAATTGGCGGTGACATGGTGATGAACACTTCGGAAAAGCCAATTACTAGTTGACTTTTCTTTGGATGATAATTTCGAAGACATGCGATTTTACCGACTTTCTCCCAACAGAGTAGTAAGCCTAGCAATCTCTTCCTTTAGTGCCTCTACCTCTTTCGATGATTTTGCTCATGCGAGCCCTTTCTTTATTTTTTTATCTTTTTTCTTCCTCTAGTGTGGTGAATATGTGAGGAAAATGTAGTTTTAGCGGATCGATCTATGTTTCTATTTAGACAAAAGATAAAAAATATAAGATGTAGATAATATATTAAAATGAAATGACACTCGGGATGGAACATGGAATAGCCTTCATGTGGGAATGATAAGAGGATCCAATTGTTGATTCTTTGACACTATCTCAAATTGGTTTAAAGATGAAATTGGGTTTCATTAGTAACCTTTGACATATTCTAACCACACTTTGAAACTTCTTTGGTATTCGGACATTGGAGATACTTGGACTTAAATCCTCTTATTACCCATCCCGAAACATCGTGACTCAATTGCTCGATCAAGGTTTCAATACATCTAACTTGCCTAGTGACATTTATCGGGTAAGATCCTAGGGTCCGGTTATAAGTCATTACATAAATGGGATAGGATCTACCAAAGTCTCAAAAGAGTCCTTTCAAGCCCGACGAATTATAATAGAATTGTTGAAGCCGTTAAAGGCGATGATTGATAAGTGTAAAAAATCATTGGTTACTCATTGTTCATTAATTACTAGTAAGAAGAGTTGAGATTTCGTGTGTTACTCGTGGCGAAACCCATTGGGGCACCATTACTACCTCCCTAAGTTCTAAAGCCGGTGTATGATAAAAAGTAACGAGTGAGTGTAGTATGTGCATAGACATTATTCCATATTCGATCCCAAGAACAAGAATAAAAATAAAAGCAAATAAAGATATAAAATGAAATAAAATAAAATAAATACAAGACAAACAATGGCAAAGGGCATGAATTCAAACAAATCAAGAAAATTACAAAAATTGGCATACGAGCACAAAAGTTCATCACATCATCGAAATCAAATTAAAAAAATTTATGCAAAGCCTAGCCCTAAGTATATTCCCCAATGGAGTCGCTATTCGTCGCGGAGCGACATTAAGGTGAGGCCAACGAATTTGAACAAAACAAAATATGAAAATTGGGAAAAAAAGAATTATAGTCATCACCTAGTATTATGGTTACTAGGAAACCCTATGACTAGTCCGTTCGCAGTTCTAGATAAAGGGTTTATTACGTGTAGGGAAGATTAAACATCACCTTACTCCGTCCTACCTAAAAAGCTGCATTGCATACAAACTTTGATTTGATTTTTGATTTTAAATTATGAACGTCTATACTTATCTCATCCTCACTCTGTAATGGATGGCTAAAGATGATGAATACAAGGATAGCAAAAAAGGAAAAATTAAATGGACAACAATTAATAAATGGGCAAAAAATAAGCGGATCGGCAAAATAGGTAAACGAGATAAAATTGGCATAATCAATAGAAATTAATGATTGAGAAAAAATTGGCAATTAGGTAAAAAAATATCGGTAATTTATGCAAATATAGGAAAAAGTCAACCATTTAGACAATCATAGGCAAAAATTAATAATTTAGGCAATCATATGTAAAAGTTGACGATTTAGGCAAAAATCGGTAAAAATCGATAACTTAGGCAATCATAGGTAAAAATCATCAATTAAGGCAAAAACAAGTAAAAATAGGCAATTTAGGCAATCATAGGCAAAAATCGACAATTAAGGCAAAAATAAGTAAAAATAGGCAATTTAGGCGATCATAGGCAAAAAACGACAATTAAGATAAAAATAACTAAAAATCGACGAAAATTGGCAATCGGACTAAAATCGACAAAGAAAAAAAAATCAACGAAATTAGTTGTCTTGACATACATATTAATTATGTTTGATGAATAGATTTCTATGGCAAAAGTCCAAACTTGTTTGATTTGACGTGATGCTTTTTTTTAATAAAATTACCACACAAGATGCACTTTAAAGATATATACTCTAAATAATAGCAAGTATTCAAACATTCAAACCAATACATCATTCATCAAATTGCAAACGCAACAACAACGTAGATCACCACAATTCAAATAAATTACACATGAACGACATATTTAATCAATTAAACATTGCACTACGATCAATTAATTGATTACAAGCACATACGGATACAAATTATATATAATACATGTTAAAATAAAAATAAGATAAAATAATATGAAAAGTGAAAAAAAAATTACTATAAAAAAACAAAAGAGGCGGACTAGTCTATTAAATTCGAATCGCTTGGACTTTTTCGACCCCGATGGAGACTCATATTTAGTCAATCGAGGAGGAAAGACGATTGGGAGCGGTGGTCGTTAGATTTAGAACGTCCGGCTTAATGGCCGTTGAAGGCGCTCCGAGGTCGTCGGTAAGTGTTGCACGATAGGTGAGGCACTATTGCGTGGGCGAGAGGTGAGGAGTTACTAGCTAGGCGAGCGAGCATATGGGCACCGGCGAGCGGTCGTGTGCTTAAGTGCTAGCGAGGAAGATGTGCGAAGCCGGGCGTGCGCATGGACGTTACCTACCCCGGGTGTTGGCGGGAGCACGCAGGGCCGGGGCACTAGCATGCATATACGGATTGAGGCATTAGCAAGCGTGCACTAACCGGCCCGGGCGTTGGTGCGGGCCGGCAAGCGCTAGTGCTGGTTGGCTTGAAAACCGGTGTTGGCCGGGCCGGCGTGCGTGTGAGGTAGGAGTGCCCATTGGGGGTCAAACGAGGCAAGCGTGTGTGACCTCTACCGCATGCTCGGGGCTGCCGAGTGTGCGCGAGAGAGGCAAGCTACTAGTGTGGGTGGCCTATTAGTTGCACGCAAGGAAGGAAGGTGCACTCCAAGCATAAGTGGCTCGTCGTGTGTGGGTAAAGGGCTTGAGCGAGGGTGAGGGAGGCTATGTGGGTCGTGGGCGAGGCGAGGGAGGTCGTGTGTAGGATGTAGGTAAAGGTGGCTAGAGTGTTTTTGGCGTGGGTGGCTGGTATGTAGGAGAGTTGGCGGCTAGGGTAGATTTTTTGAAGGGATGATGAACAATAACTCGTCATGTTTTGGAGAAAAAGAGAGTTTTTATACTTGGTTTGTTTAGGGTTTTTTAGGCTAAGTTTGGCTTGGTCCCTCATCTCGCAAACCCATTTTAGTTTGATCCTTTTCTCTCTTTTTTTTTAATTGCATCTCGCAATTGTATTTTTTTAGTCCCTTTTCTTTTTTATATTTTTATTTTTTTGAAAAAAAAATTGGGTGCTAACAAGTCTATTAATGTTATAGCTAATGAATCTAAAGGATGCCCGAAGCGTGGAAGATCGATCGATTCTAAAGATAAAAATCTCTAAAAGAAAAGGACAAGATGAAAATATAAAAGATGCAAATATTCACAAAATGGTCCAAGATAAATCCGATAATAGGCTTCCGGAAGAAGTCCAAATGCTTGAAAAAAATGAAGAGACTTTGATAAATTATGTCAATACGGGGAGAAAATAAGGATCGAAAAAAACATTTTTTGTATATCTTGAATGAAAATAAGGATCCCGAGCCTAAATTTATTAAAGAATATCGACATAAAGATTATTGGCCTAAATGAAAAGAGCAATCCAGGCATAATTATTATTTTTTTTTACAAATGAGTAGTTTTTGAACCCATAGTCAAAACACTCGAAGATGTTAAGCCAATGAAATACAAATTTGTATTTATGAAAACACGAAATAAGAAAGATGAGATTGTAAGATACAAAGCAAAAATTTTAACATAAGAATGTTTGCAAAGAGTCGACATTGACTATCGGGAACCATATTCTCCTATAATGGATGCAATTATATTTTGTTATCTTATTAACTCGAGAAAATATATGAAAAACATTCATATGCATGCATTTAATGAATGTGATCTCGGTTTATTTGTTCATTTAAAATGATATTAGTATGAAAGTCGTAGAAGAAGCATGTAATACATATTCTCGAGAAAAGAAGTTAATTAAATTATAGAGATCTCTATTAGAATTATTTTAATGTTATTGTTATTATTTTAGTTTTTAGAAATTCAATTTATGCTATACTTTTTATATTTATTTTTATTTTTTTAATAAATTCTTTGTATTACCGACATTCGTGTGCATGTGATATAATTATTTCAATAAATATTTATTGAATTTATAAAAATAACCATATTTATTTATTTATTTTTATAAAAAAATTTGAAAAGGGGTTTATGATAGTTGTTATATATGTTAATGATTTAAATATTATTGAAACTCTTAAAGAGATTTCAAATATCTTAAATTATCTAAAATGAAAATTTGATGTGAATACCTTGGAAAAATAAAATGTTATCTTGATCTCGTAGTTTCAAGCCCTCAAAGAATGAGATTTTTATTCATCGATCAATTTGTATAGAAAAAAGTTCTACAATGATTCTATATAAATATCATTCGTTGAGTAGCCCAATGGTAATTTATTCACTTGATATCCAAAAAGATCATTTTTTATCCCGAGAAGATAACAAAGAACTACTTAGTCTTAAAGAACCGTAGCTTAGTGCCACTATTGCATTGATATATCTTGCTAATAATACTCGACATGATATAGTCTTTTCTATAAATTTATTAGCAAGTCATAGTTCTGTTTCAATACGGAGACATTAAAATAAAGTTAAACATATACTACATTATCTTCGAGGAACAATTGATATAAGCTTATATTACTCTAATAAATCAAAGACAAAATTAATTGGTTATGCAAATGTAGGTTATTTATCCGATCCACACAAAGCTCAATCACAACTAGTTATATATTTAGATATGGAGATATAGTTATATCTTGGCATTCTATGAAGCAAACTATAGCTGCCACATCTTTAAACTATGGAGAAATACTAGCAATTCATCGAGCGAGTCGAGAATGTATTTGGTTAAAATGATCCATCATATTCGAGAGACATGCGGTTTATCTACTAGCAAGGAAGTTCCAACAATCTTGTATGAAGATAATACTGCTTGTATAGATCAATTAAAGGAAGGATACATTAAAGGTGACGGAATGAATCATATATCACCAAAATTATTTTTCACACATGATGTTCAATGAAATGGTGATATTAATGTTCAATAAATTCGATCAAGTGACAATCCAATGATTTTTTCACTAAGGCATTACCTACCATAACTTTTGAGAAGATGATTCATAAGATTGGAATGCGTCATCTTAGAGATCTTAAATAATGTTTTCAACAAGGGGAGACCAATATGGGGATTAGTGTGTACAAGGAATACTATACTTTTTTTCTTCACTAGGATTTTTTTCCACTGGGTTTTTTTAGTAAGGTTTTAACGAGGCATGTTTCTTGTACAATGGACATTCAAGTGGGAGTGTTATGAAATAATAAATGTCCATATGAATGTTCATCTATTTTTTATATCTCCACTACTCATAATTCTTAATGTGATTTAATTCATCATTCAATATGAGAAATTCAAAGGGTGATATAATTAATATACTTTTAATTATTCAAGGTCCCTTCCAATTCTCTTCTTAATTTTTAAGCATATAAATAAGTTTGATTGTTCATTAGTTCATGTACAAGTCTTCTAGAGAGAATAAAAAAAACTTTGAAGTTCTTATCACTTGCATTCACATTATAGTGATTTTATTTTATTGTTATCATTTTCTTCAATTCTCATATTATTTCTATTGCTTCATAACACACACACACACACATATCTATATATATATATATAACCCGATAAGTTAAATTTTGGGAGGACCGAAAAGAACTTGTATTTAATTGAATTTTTATTAGGCCCTTCATTAAATTTGTTTCCATTGGTCCACGTGTAAAAAAAAATTAGTTACAATGTTTTTTATTATTTTTTTTATATAAAAAAATCAGTGTCTCATGGATCCCTTTGTTTATAGAAAATTCTGAATCTTGCATAGATTCCTTCGTTCAACTCCCATAGAAGGATTAGAATTCATATATATTAATATAGTATTTTTTATATTAAAAAACCCCGACTATATATATATATATATATATAATTTTTTTTTAATAAAAAACCAGTCGCTTATGGATTCCTATTTTAAACTCTCCTAAAAGAATTAGGATTAATACTAATATAGACTGATCATGGTGTTCGGTTTCCACCAGATCCCACATTTTTTTTCAATATTATGTGTAAAAAAATCATTACTTATGTACTAAAGTCTAATTAAAAATTAATATCTCCATTAAATGTGGCTTAAAACACTCGAATAAATAGTTAAGGGAACTGCATAAATTGTATTTTCCAATTAAAACTGGAGTTTAACAGATCTCACATAAATAATTAAAGAATCACACAAAAACATGTCTACCTACTCTTCCATATGCATCTCTTTATTTTTATTTATTTCCCTTATAGAATTAGAAAATCTATATTCTAAGTGACCTTTTCAATGAAAAAATTAATTATATTCGTTTTGGTAATACAAACTCTTCTCCCATGCTCCTTGTCTACTAATCATTAACACTAATGCTCGAATTGTCTAAACTTTGCATACTCTCTTATCTACTAACACCAATCCTTGGACTATCTATAAAAAAAAACATGCTAAGTGGTTTTTTTAGTGATCACATAAAAAAAAAATAAAGAAAAATTAAAGATGAAGATATATATATATATATATATATATATATATATATATATATATATATATATATATATATATATAAAAGTTTATCCAATAATAATAAGTAAATCTTTTATCTCAATGATCCACTTGTAATTAATTTTAATTCACCAAGCTAAAAAGTGACATGATTATCATGATGTCACCTATGGAGGGCAATAGACCATTTTTGTTCATTTTGAAAATTAAAAAAGAGTACAACCGTAGCTCCACGTCGGTGGCTTTGATTTTATAATAAAAGAGATAAAGTAACACCCAGGAATAGTGCTATACAACAAATCAAATGAATGGAGCGTGATGATTTACAATTAAAATTTAAAGTAAATCAGTTTCCAATAGTAAAATACAAATAAAATGTCAACTATTTAAAAATAAATTTCAAAGTTTAATAAATTAATATGTGTTCAACACAAACGAAATGTCAAAAAAATAAATTTATTAAAGGTTAAGTTGTAAAATTCGGAAATTATTGTCTAGCTAAATATAAAATTAAAAATGCTTTCAATTTCACAGAATAAAGAAAGAAAAAGAAAAAACTCATTTAGGTTGCATTAGCCATAACTCGTCTAGGATGTACAAGACTGATTGATTTGACTAGGCATCTTTTCAACTACAGCCTCGTGAATTCTTAAGCCTCCCTTCCATCCTCCACTCCACAATTCGTATAATCCAAAATGGAGTGTGGTATCTTCAGCATATTTCGGAACTTCAAATTGAAGCTTGCCGTAAGGAACTTCCATTTCGTTGCCTACTTTCATATCTGCTATATTGATTTTTGCCCAGTTGGCCCTTCCTTTCTTCCCTACCTTAGCCAGCATGTAAACTGCAGGAACTGCATCCCAACCAAAATTCTGTTCCGACAAAGATATTTTGAAGCTCAGTGCATACCTCTTCCCTTTGGATAGGGGTTCGGGCGTTGAGCTGTTTATTTCAAGCCAACATACGTTCTGCAACTCCGCAGGATCATTCCTGAAATTATGTGTAGAACTTATGCATCAAATGTGCTGCTCTATGTCAGCAAATTCTTGTTCTGTGATTTTAAATTTTTTTGTCTGTATCATTGATTATTTGCAATACTTAACCTAAATATTGAAATTTTATTTCTGAAAAAAGAAGTATTGAAATTTGATTAAAGGGATAATTCTCAGTACTCTTTCTCAGGCATCTTCCAATTACTTGGGTTCTCACTCCATGTGATGTGCAATTCCCTTGGTTTAAAGCTCCACCTGCATTTATTCTGTAAACATAAAAATAATTCTAGCTCATCATTAACACCAATATTTTCAGTCTTAAATCATAGTCTAGCATATATTTTCCTTTTAACAAAATCATGTACAGTAAAAGCGGAATAATATATGTTTTTTCTTCAAAAAAAAAAAAAAATTGGTTTCAACATGCAAACCTAGATCCCAAGTTTGTTTATAGAAATGTTTAATCCAAGGGGGACTAAGCAAACTAATAGAACTACAGATCAATAATGGTACTGAAATAGCCGATAGAACATGTCCAACCTTATCAGATTCCGCTTCTGCACGACCAGCTGCCTCAGACATCTTGAGAGCAAATAAAAGTCTGTAGATTATTAGTTTTGACAGACTGCCATGATGTATATGAACCCTTATTGAGCCTTTTATATCCAGGGAAATGGAAATAACTTTTATCTCCTCATCAATATGTTCCTGTCAAGACAAGAACATCGAAGAAACTCATCCACAAAAGAGGGGAAAAAAAAAAACCAATATAGCTTAGAAACAAAGGAATCATGTAAAATGTGGTCGACTTTATGAGAAAAATGGCATCTGAATATTTTTTGTTATCCACTAATGGTCCATATATGGTCAAGAAAAGAATTGATCCATTTTGCTAAGAGAGAACTAGATTCATTCTATATATGATCGTGACTCACACTTCCATCAAATGAATAAAACTACGTTCCCTTAAGCTATCTAGATCATAAAAACAGGAGTAACTGACCAAATGCCTTCATTTATACTTAGAACTTACAAGTGGTAAACAAATGATTTATGAGCTTGCTTGATAGTTGGAAGAAAGCAACATTTAGTCTTACCAAATCTATTACATGCACGTCCAATAAAAATAAAAGTTAAATGGGTATTATATAAAGTTGAGAATATACTATTCATTATAAAACTTAATTTTTTGAGATGGAAACTAAAACTTTTTTTTATAAATAAATTCCTATTTTTAACTATCTAAAAGGATTAGGATGAATAGCAATTTGGATTAATCATGGTGTTACCAGGTCATCACATATTATTCTTTCAATAACGTTGTACAAAAATTAAATTATTACTTATTTACTGACCATTAACTTTGGCTAATAACGCTACAGTCCACTTAAAACTAGAATTTTAACGCATTTGACAAAAATAAAATAAAATAAAGAATGACACAAAGATATGCTTGCCTACTCCATATGCATTTTTTTTTCCTCCTTCTAGAAGTAGGACTCTATATTCCAACTTCCAAGTGACTTTTTCATTAAAAAAAATAATTATTTATGTTTTTTCTGTATATCTCAGTTGCAAGTTTTTTCTTCTTCTTTTTTTAGTAAAAAAAGAAAATTAAATATATATATATATATATAGCAAGATAAGCTAAAATTAAATATTATATAATCCCGTCTCTCCTAGATTCCTTTGTTTTTTTTTTTTTAATAGAACATTCTGAATCTTTCATAGATTTATTTGTTGAACTCTCCAAGAAAGATTAAGATTAGTAAATATTAAAAAAAATAAATATATTATTTTTTAATTAAAAAAACACAGTTTCTTAGGGATTTCTATTTTTAACTCTCCAAAGAATTAGGATTAATACCAATATAGACTAATCATGGTGTTTTGTTTCCTCTTCAAGTCACATTATTTTTCAAAAATATGTGTAAAAAATTAAATTATTACTTATCTACTAAAGTCCAATTAAAAATTAATATTTTATTAATATATGATTTTCACTGCTAACCCTCACATTTATTGTGGATACATTGAAGCTCGAAGATGGCTTTTTTGCGATTTTTAAGTTATTTTTGAGCAATCATAATCAAAATTTACATCATGTTTATTTTAATCCATGATGTTTTAAAATAATATTTTTCGTCCTCTCGTCGCACAGTGCACGACTTGCATAGAGCCTACATATGCAAGCCCAAGCGACTTGTTGTTGAAATATATTGGGTGACATACTTGTGAATATATAGAAAGTGGAGGTTAGTTAGTGGAATTAATTAGCACATTTAATTTAAGTTTGTTAGTGGAGTAGTTAGCCATTAAGGTGAGTTACTCAACAATTAAATGAGAGTATAAAATGCGCTCTCTCTCTCGGCGAATGAAAAACTACGGTACTATAATTTGGGGATTTTTTGCTCTAAGCTAATACAGAGATTTTCTACCCAATTCTTCTTCTTGTTTCTTTCCTCCCGTAACCCCTAGACTCGAATTTCTACATGGTATCAAAGCACAACGATCTTTTACAAGGAATTCCTCTTTTATGATTCTACATTGCGATTATGACAAATACGGTTGACAAAGGTGATATCTCAACACTTCTAGTGATAGCCTCCAATCCTCTGTTGTTGATGAGTTTAGATGTACTCGGAATGGTTCTTGTGAATCAACCTTTGATAGAAGCTTCAAATTACATTCCATGGCGTAGATCTATGGAAATTGGTCTCTCTTGCAAGAACAAGCTTGGATTTGTCAATGGTGCTATTCCGAAGCCAAGAGAAAGAGATCCAAGTCTTGCACAATGGGAGCAAATAAATAATATGGTGATTTCTTGGTCGCTTAGTGTGGTTTCTAAAGAAATTGGAAAGTCCGTACTCTATGGCAATACTATAGCAATTATGTAGTCAAATTTGCGAAAACAATTCTCGAACAGTGTTGGCTCTATGGTTTATGGTCTATGAAAGCTAATTTCGTCTTGTACTCGGGAGAATATGAACATTGAGACGTATTACATCAAACTCAAACAACTATGGGATGAATTGGAAGCTATGACTCATATTCCAACTCGCAAGACAAATGTTCACCGTGAAATAGCAAAGGTGTTAGAAGAACGGAATGATGAACGAAGTTAATGCAATTTTTTATGGGACTAAATGATAGTTTAAACCCGTTAGAGGTCAAATTTTGCTAAAGAAACCTTTATCGTGTGTAGAATATGCCTACTCTATGGTTCATAAGGAGGAAAAACAAATGAAGGTTTCACGAGTTTATGCTTATGGAGGATGTAACAATTGTTCTCACGATTAGGAATAACATGAGTCAATATCAAGGATACTAAGGGAGTTAGGTGTAGAATAAAAATACTAGGAAGAATCTATGGTGCAAACATTGTCAAATGTCATGACATATGAAGGCCAAATGCTTTAAGCTTCATGGATATCCACTTAATTACAAACTAAAAGGGAAGAGGAACATTGTAAATGTTCAGGAAAATTTGTATAAAGTTCAAAGTCACGAGTATTAAATATGGTGAATAAATGAATCTTTGTAATATGCCTAACAGTTTGCTTCTCAAAGGTCAAGCAATAGATGTACCAATGCTTGGAAGTACTCCAAGGTCTCAAGACACTAATGTCATAGCTACTCTCTAGCCTAATCTATAATTTACTCCCGACCAAATGAATCAAATACTCAAAATCCTTGTTCAATAGAATCAACCTCTTCCAAATTAAGTTTAACATCTAAGTAGGTATCAGTCATTATTTATCCGTATCGCATAAGCTAGATAACTAGATTATTTATAGTGGTGCCACCGATCATATCACTCACTATTTTTTTTTTTTTTAGAATCACCTACCAAATTATCCAATCCTTATTTAGTCCATTTGCCCGATGATTCAACTACATATAAGAATCGTTTCCATATATCCCATTATCACTTACACAATGTCCTTTTTGTTCCAACTTTTAAACATAATCTTTTATCCATTAGTAAACTCATCAAAGATTCGACTAAATCATCACCTTCAATTCTAGTTCTTGCTATATGTAAGGCCATGGACAGAAGACAATTGTGGAGATTAGTAGACAAATGAATGGATTTTATTATCTTAATTCTATTAATAAGGCATATGAGTCAAAAATTTTCTCCTTAGCTCCGATTGTTCAAAGTCACACCATAAATTCCTTAGATAATTCTACATTTTGGCATCATAGATTAGGTCATGCTTTTTTCAATAAACTTCAACATCTTGTCTTTATCATTCCAAATTTACATGAGATAAAACATATATGAATTGTGATCTATCCCCTAACCAAACGAGTCCAAATTACCTTTCAATAAAAAGTGATATTTCTTCTTTTATAACTTTTCACGTTGTCCATTGTGATGTTTGGGACCATATAAGGTTCCAACACATCATGGTTTTCGTTATTTTTTTATAATTATTGATGATTTTACTAGAAATACTTGACTTATTTAATGGTTACTAAAAGTGAAGTCCCTTCCTTGTTGTAGTTCTTCTTTAGGTTTATTTAGAATCAATTTCATAACTCTATTAAAATCATTAGAATTGCTAATGGTTTAGAATTTATCAATCGAACCTTGAAATCCTTCTTTCTTGATCATGGCATTATCCACCAAAATAGTTGTATTCATACTCCATAACAAAATGGCATTCTTGAAAGAAAACACAAGCATGTTATTGAAATAGCTAGAGCCTTGAGATTTCAAGCTTCATTACCTATACAATTTTGAGGGGAATGTGTGTTGACTCGCCACTAATGTCATTAACAAAGTTCCTTTTTCTATTCTTTGTAATAGATTACCTTTTGAACTTCTCTTTCAAACCCCACATAGTTATAAACATTTGAGAGTTTTTAGGTGTTTATGTTTTGTTTCCATCATTGCTCATAACAAGGACAAATTTGATCCTCGAGCTACCCCATGTGCCTTCATTGGTTATCCATATGCTCAAAAAGGTTACAAGGTATATGATCTAGAGACTCACAAAATCTTTGTCGGTCGTGATGATTGATTTGCTGAATCCATTTTTCCTTTTTCAACTCACATAAATTGTTCAGCTATCGCCCTTTTTTTCCCTCTAATCTTAGTGAATTTGATATTCACCCAAAGGTTTGTGATTATACCTTTTTACCTAATAATCAAATCCAGTCTTTTTCCTCTTCTATTCTTACTTCCTTATCCCATTCGATCCTTCTATAGTCTATTCTTCTCTTTTAAACTCTAGTCTTTTTGGTTTTATTATCCAAGAGGCGAGCTCTTCTCTTTTAACTTATCTGTCTCAAAAGTCGGATAGATAAAAGGTTCCTCCTATATGGTAGAAAGATTATATTTGTTCCTCCCATTTGTCTATCACATCACTCGTTCACATAAATATGCTTCCACATCACAATTGCATATATCCCATGTCTAATTTCATTTCTCTTCATTCTACTCCTCCTTCGTGTCATCATTTTGCACTTAATGTTGAAATACACAAAGAACCTACCTTCAACTCTAAAGCTTATTGAAATTCAAAATTGAGAGAAGCAATGGCATCGGAGGATAACCATACTTGTTTTATCACCGATTTACCCTCTAGGAAGAAGGTTGTTGGCTCTAAATGAGTGTATAAGGTGAAGTAAAAAGCTAATGGGTCTATAAAGAGATACAAAGCATATTTGGTGACAAAGAGGTATACACAAATTGAGAGTATTGATTACTAGGATACTTTTGCTCTTATGAAAAAAAAAATGACAAAAATCAAGACTCTCTTAGTTATAAGCAATTGCCAAAGGTTGGACTTTAGTTTAGTTGGATGATAATAATGCTTTTTTGCATGGACATTTGAATGAGGAGGTATATATGAACTTGCCTCTAGGCTTTTTTGTAACGAGGGCGGGAAGATAACCTATTTGCATGTTGGTAAAGTCCTTGTATGGACTCAAATAGGCTTCTCCATAGTGGTTCTCTAAGTTTTCATCTACTTTGATTTTAAGCAGGCTTTACTTAGTCTCAATGTGATCATTCTTTACTCATTCGAACTTATAGAAGTCATTTTACCGGCTTAATAGTTTATATTGATGATATGGTGATAACGAGGATCGATAAAGAGATCATTGATAGTTTGAAAAAGATTTTAGATCGAAATTCAAAATCAAATACCTAGGAGATTTGAAATACATCTTGGGCATTGAAGTTCTTCAAAACAAGGATGTAGTCTACCTCAATCAATGCAAGTATGCTCGGGATATTATTGTAGATGCTGGTCTTTCAAGAGTAAAACCAAGCTCCATACCAATGGAACAAAAACATAGATTTAATGTATGGGATGGAACGGACTTGGATGATTCATTGGTGTAT